GCTGCTTAATAACTGCTGCTTAATAACTGCTGCTTAATAACCGCTGCTTAATAACCGCTGCTTAATAACCGCTGCTTAATAACCGCTGCTTAATAACTGCTGCTTAATAACCGCTGCTTAATAACCGCTGCTTAATAACTGCTGCTTAATAACTGCTGCTTAATAACCACTGCTTAATAACCGCTGCTTAATAACTGCTGCTTAATAACTGCTGCTTAATAACCACTGCTTAATAACGGCTGCTTAATAACCGCAGCTTAATAACCGCTGCTTAATAACAGCTGCTTCTCTAAAGCTGTAGACAGCGGAAAAAAACTTGGCCGTTGTTGCATCTCGCAGCCCTCCACTATAGCCTGCAATTGTTTGCTGAGAGCCCAACTCTATCTTGTGCGGAGTTTGCAGTTTTTCGTTCAAATTCATTTTACAGAGGATTTTTTATTCCATTCTTCATTGTAGGATACTGACAAGAAAATACGAGAATTGTTCCATTTGAAAAATTGCGTCTCGTTTCGCTTCTTTAGTACAGTATAATTTTCAAACTAAAACCTCACAAACTATGTCATTAACTAGCCTTTAATTATTATCATATGTTTATGCTTACGTACAGTATAATTAGAGTAAAACTAGGCACGATGCAACAAACTTATATCAATGAGTCATTAGAAATTAGGCATTTCATAGACAAGTGTGATCTTGAAAAATCTGATTACCTTTCATTTTTAGTATGTTATTGTCATTCTACTTCATCTAACTTTAGTTCGAAATCCTCCTGCGGCTTGAATATTTTCTACCTTTTCTAAGTTTTCTTCTAAGTTCAGTGGGCTACGTACCCATTGGTTTATGCGACATTCGGGCCAGTACGATTTGCGTTTAACGATTCAGAAAATAGCGTTTTCAAAAATCTTGTGCAGAATGAATTTTAGTTACAGCTGCTCTGTTGCAACATCTTGAAATTTTGAATGATGTTCGAGTGGGGGAGAAACGTGATATATTTTAGACTACACAACGTTGCATTATACTTAATTCGAAATTCTCTGCCAGTAAAGTTCATAAGCTAGGCAATTTTTAATTAAAAGTTTCCTCAAAGTATCGTTTCTAAATTGCTATGTACTATAAAATTAAGATTTAACGTATATGAATTCAAATTTAGATCAATGGCTTTGTTCAAGGTTCAGTTGAACGTTTTTTCTAGAGTTCGTTTATTATGGACTGGAAGACCAGTTACATTTATAGTCAATTTAGATAAACATTCTAAAAATCGATCAAATGTTAGTATATTACATCCAGTGGCTTCGCAGGGTTAACGGAAGAAGAAAAATGC